CTGGCATACAACGGTGCAATGGCATCTTGCAGTGGATGTGGGTCAATGCCTTGCTTTCCCGTCCTCCTTCTGCTCACCATGCCTGCGTCAATTTCATGTAGCTCGAGTGCCGCTTGATCTGCTTCTGGAACTGGTTGTAGCGCCGTTCGAACATGCTGTACTCGATCTTGATGCCGAACCACCCACCCATTAGACATCAACGGGCTAGGTCCAATCAGCTGCATGGAGACAAATGGGTTGACCAGTTGTCCTGCTTTGTGCCACCTTTTTGTACGAACCGCTACCCTCGCTCCAAATCGAAGCATTGGTTGTACTGGTATTCCCAACCGGCTCAGCTGTCGCCTACACCGCTCCTCAGCCGCGTGGCGGATCGCTCCCTGCCATAGCTCTGGTTCAGCTTGAGCTTGATGGAGGATCAGTCTCATGCGACGCTTCACTTGTTGAGCTCGACCGTTGCTCTGTGGATCATCTCCTTGAGTGAAGGTCTGGACTATGTGACGATGGCCACACCACGTTGCCACCCTCTTCATCAGCATGCCCTTCTCACGATCGCTGTGGAGTCTCATCACATTGACCCCAAGGCACCTGAATCGCGCATACAGTCGAGAAAGTCCATTCAGCAAGGACTCCACTCCTCTATCCTCCATGACTTCCACCATCGTAATGTTCTGCAGACGGTGAGGCCGCCGGAGCTCATCGATCTCTTCACGACCAATTTCCGGCCCGTCACCCCTATCACCTTGCCGTTGGTCATCGGGATCTTGTGCCTCTCGACCCTCTTCCACCCCATCTTCGTCCACTTGATCTTCATGGTCCAGGGATGGTACATCAATTAACTGCTCTTCAGTGAGATCCTCCTCCTCTTGTGCACCAGGAAGATGATCTGGTACTGGAAGTGGGACGGTCCCCAACAATGCATACTTGGCCATCCTTCCAGTTGCGAGGTCTTTTCCAACCGGGAATGGTCCAATGATGTCCACTGCCAACGTGAATGCAGATGAAGCTGTCTTGGTTCTACGGTGGGGATTTTGTGATCCCATAGCTTCCAAACAGGTCCGACAGTCCCGCCTAAATGGCGTATGCTGCATTCGAACATGTTGGCGCCATTGATCCAGGTCTAGCTTCGCCACCTTGGAATTCTCTTCTTCAGTCAACAGCGCTCCCAGCGCCACCTGGATCGCCTTGACAAAGCCCGGTGACCATTCCGACCAGCTGCGAGAGGCCGCCATTCGTTGGTTTAGGTCTCCTCCCGCTCCCACCGGCCCAATGCCACCACCACCTTGACACTGCTCCAACTGCTCCAACATAGGCAAATTGGACAGTACTCCTGTTGGCTTGCGCCTTGGATGACCAGTTGATCCCTGGTCGAAGTTGAACATTTTCATCGTTTCATCCTCCAACAGCTGCTGCAGTTGCGGCCGTTCGAAATACGATGGATTCTCCTGACCCCAAATACGAGGCTGGATCCCGAGGCGAATGCAGGAAGAAGCCAGTAGTAGTTCCCGGCGGCTGATTCTGCCTTGACATCTTCCAAAGTGCCAGCTGCTTGAGAACCAGAGTAGTGTCATTGGCCACCAACTGCGCCTCGTTAGGAGACAGATACCCCAAATCTCCATGCTCTCTCACCTTGCGAGGACCAATGATCGCTTTGATGCGGCCCTGTCTTGCCAATGAACATAGATACCCCCACACCTGTGGCGAGTGAAGATCAAACCTCGACCCAATCAATGGGTCCACAAACAACCATGTGAATCCAGCCGTTTCGAAACACTTCATTCACAGTTCCCCCGGATGGTTCCAACCTACTTCCTTCCTTTTGCAGCCCGGGAGGACCTTCGACGCCGCGTGGTTGATGCCCTCGCCCTTCACGTTGAGACACAAGGCCATCACCTGTGACCCTATCCCCAACACCCATCGGTCCCCTAGGTTCTCGACTCGAATGACGACGATTCACCGCCGCCAGTGACCCGCTTGATCTCCTTCGCAAAAAGATCTTCTGCTTCCTTGAGTACTTTCTCACGGATGGCTTCCACCTCATGATAGGTTGGAGACCTTCGAACCTCAGCCGCAGGCGCCGCATCGAACTCAGATCAGCAGCTTGCGATCGAGCCTGTGCACTCCAAAACGGGTTGACGTTGGTCCCCATCGGAGGTGGCGTCGCCATGGAGTAAGGATCCAGCACCCTATAGAGGCCCCAATTCCACACCAGGCCCATAGCTCATCGGCCGCCCTTGAGGAGGAACAGGACATTGAGGGGATCCCGCCATGCTCCCATGCCCACCACGAACTTCAGAAACATTACCGGCAAGGTGTCCCAAATCATGGTGATGAAGGAGTGGTGCAAGTAGACCCTGCCCTTGGGGGTTTCCACCAAATGCCCTCGATATGAGCACCTGGCCCGCACCGGAACCACGACCTCGGTCACGATCCCCAGTTTCCCGACTGGATTCCCGTGGCAAGGCCCTCATCGCTGCTGAATCTTCCTGAGCAGGAGCCGCCGCCGCCAAGCGCCGCACAGCCGCCGCCCTCACAGGCACTGATGCTGCCCTTCCGTCTTTCTCTTCTTCCAAAAGCGCATCCAGTCGCTCATCCGCAGCGCCAACCCGCAGAGCTCCCGGCCTATCCGCCGGATCCACCATGCGCCCACGCGAGGTGCGCCGCCGCCGTGACTGAAAGTCACCCATGGGAGCCAACAACCTCTAACAGAGGGTGGTCTTTAAACCTGAGCGTCCCTCAAACGGACAAAAGCTTCTTTTCTTGAGCCAAATTGGTTGGTTGGTTGTGCATGAGTTTCATGCTGTACCTAAGACTTGAGTATAAGGACTTTCTCATCCTCAAATTCTAATAGCTTTTTGTTTCTACTAGTAAGGCACTTGTTACTACTAGCGTGGCACTTGTTACTACTAGTACCAAGAAGCTAGTAGAAACAATATATAAATGGATGCGTTCGGCTTCGATCGATGGGAGCCGCTGGCCCACACGGTGCACCGCCCTCGACCTCGGCGTTGCGACATCGGAAACGAACAGCAGCGTTTGGACCCAGGCCTCGAATGGAACGAGAGAGTTTCATAGCAAAAACGCAGGCAAACGGGGTGTTCCCTGTGTCCTGTGTCCCGCATGGTCGAGGAATGCAGGAGAATTCAAAGCAAGTCCTGGAATTGCTTAGTTAAAGATAATTAAAGCATTTCTTACTCTTCCATCCAAAGATTCTTTGTTCCAATCCAAGAAGCTCAATCACAGGAATCACAGGTCTATCATTCAAGACTGTAGCTGGGCGCAGCTATCCCACTATGTTTTCAAGAATCAGGATCTTTGGCGAAGTGGGTGTGTTGCAGAGGGACGGGTGGTGGACAATAGATGGCCTTTGTTGCTATTGGTTGGTTGAATAGAGGGGATACCCCTGGTCGTGAACAACCAAGAGTTAGATGGTGGCATCGACCCCTCGATAAATCTTGATTGGTTGGACCTCATTGGTGGTCACCAGTGCTTATGCGACAGCGGTTGCGCGGTCAGGCGCTGTCGGCCTTTGCGCGGCAGCGGAAGGATTTGGAATGGCAGTCCTTGCGCCTCAGGGGAGAGGCGAGCGACAGCAACAGACAGAGCGGCGAGGAACGTTGGAATATGTTGGAATACTAGTCTTTTTTGATCTCTTGAGAGGAGGAAGTCTCCAAAGGGCTCGGGAAAAGGAGAAGTCTCCGGCTTGAAATCTGGGTCGCCGTGAGACCTGTCAGCTTCATAAGTTTCATGTATGTTCTTCTTTCTAGGGGTTGGAGTTGGTGGCCCACCTTTCCTAAACACCTTTGGCTTCGTCGTTGTTGAAGAGACGATCAAGTGGCGTCGGGACTGTCAAAGGTGGCACCAGCTTGAGTGGATTTTGGAACGTTAATTTTTGACCAGATAGCCGTCATTGCCACGGCCCTAGCACAGGGCAGGTCATTCAACAAAAACACCCAAGTGGATTCATGTGTTTGATTCCATCCTTGGACCACCCAGCAACTCACCAACAGCTGCTCTGTTGTTTCTTACTCCGCGCCGTTTCGTGCACCCCAAATCGGCTCGTCTCGGGGCCAGGTTCGTGGTCTAAAGGCTCGTTTGGCGGCCGGAGCCTCAGAGGCATTGAGTGCGAGAGGTCCGGACTCCTCAAAACTGGTTGGTCTTGGAGGTCCCAGATCCTGATGCTGAGAGGTCGATCCTAGCCGAATATGGCGGAAGAGTCCCCAAGATGCATCGCGACATGCTTTGGTCTATGTTTGTCTTTATCCAGGCTTCCAGCCCTCACTCTCTTTGTTTCCTCCCGCACGGCTTTGGCCCAGAAAGCAGGTCCAATTCCGGGCTCAAGGCAGACCTTTTTTGGAGAAGAAACCTCCAGGGGTTCAACTGGACCCTGTCTGGTCCCGTTGCGAAACGGATCAAAAGACGACTCCAGAAGGCCAAACAAGTCCCAGAATGCCGAATGCGTGGTTCCAGGCTCACCGGGTTCCCAAGTTGTGGTTCCATGGTTCCTGAGTTCCAAAGTTCCAAGGTTTAGGATTCCAGGCAAACGTTGCCATCAGGGACTGGCACTATAGAAGTGTGTTTAGACCAGGGAGATCCTCAAAGGCTTGAACAGGAAAGACAGATCAAAGTCCATTGCAATTCCACTACTCACCCATTCATCCACTAGACTGCTTGCTTGGGTCATAGACGAGCAGACAACCTGCTGGGTGAGATTTTTTTCTCTTTTCAAGTGCACCCCCTTTTTTTGGCATCTCCAAATGCAGCTCGACCAATTTTCTAGTAGACCACTTGGACCTCAGTGAATGGACTTCAATGCAGTGCTCATGCTCATGCGCTCGTGACGACGATTCCCCATTCGGCCCCCTCCTCCGAGTTCTCCGAGTTCTCGTCCTGGTGTTGACGATGGTTTCTCCCTTTCCGGCTCAAGGGGCGTTGAGCGAGAATGGGAGACCCCAGGCAGTCGTGTCGTTGGATCCACATGGCCTCGAGTTGGGAACCACTTCATGGACGAAGGACATGGGGCCGGAGGTGGCGGAGGTGCATCGAAACTGGAGCGAAGAAGAGATTCACTGCCCTCGATTCTTGCACCACGGACATGGCACCCGCCTTTCTGTTCATTTGCTGGTCACCCAAGATCTCTCGGTTTTGACCCAGAGAAATGTCATGCCACGTCAGCCTCCAACCGGAATGGTGTGTTTGGCTTTGGTCCAACCTGCCATAGCTTGCCAGCTTCCATGTTTGTCGAGCTCGCACTGCTCGTTTCCTTGTTCAAGAACATTGAAGGCCATATGAATCTAATCCCACTTTTTCTTCCAAGTATTCTTTTATTCCTGTGAATTGCCCAGTTGTTTTGTTTTGACTTTGGCAATGTTCGGATTGACCTTGTGTGTGTTTCTGGACAGCTGGCGACGCCAGAACCTGGCGTCAAACTTTCATTTTTCCTATGGTCTATGCAAGCCTTGGTGTAGGCTTTCCAACAAAACTGCTTACAGTACTACACTAATGGAGGACATTCGCATCCTCCAAATCCATCACGGGGGGGCCATTGTTCAAATAAGTGTATATGCAGGGCGACTCCTAAATTCAGCAAATCGCTCGCAGGAGGTCAATTGATTACCATGGCGGAGCCAGTTACCTAATATGGTAGTCTTCTTTGGTGCCAATCTTCACCAGGCTCCACATGCCAAGGTTCAGTCCCCCTTCTTTGTCCCAGCATCACCTCACTGCCACTGGAACAAGAAGCTACTAGTAACAAAGGGCATGGCTACCAGGAGCAAGAAGCCACGAACGTAGTTCCTGGCCTTACTACTAGGAACAAGAAGCTTCTAGGGGCTCCTGGCATCGCTACTAGGAGCAAGAAGCTACGAACGTAGCTCCTGGCCTTACTACTAGGAACAAGAAGCTACTAGGGGCGCCTGGCATAGCTACTAGCCTTACTACTAGGAACAAGAAGCTACTAGGGGCTCCTGGCATCGCTACTAGGAGCAAGGACGCTACTGCCAGGATCCGCAGATTGGGCGCTTTGGCGCCAAGCGCCTCGCCTCCTCACCGTCGTGTTGGCGGCCTTGCCACTGCTGGAGGCTTTGCGGCTGCTGCGCGCCCTGCGACACCATCAGGTGCGACACCGGTCCGTGGAAGACCTGCGTCGACCTACACTGGTCGGACTGAGGTGGAGCCGGTGGTCACCAGGGTTGGCGTTGGTCTGTCAACTAACAATGACATTTGAGAGCTCCATTCGGTTGCATACAAACAAGGATCTTCAAAGGTCACACATGTTTGCCGGAAACATCTTTCAGTGAAATGGCACGCTAATCAAAAAAGGTGCCGTTTCAGGGGTTGCAACCATGTGCTCAAAATCCATGGAAAGGGAAAGACGTTGTTTGGATGCCCAAAGACGCCGTTTGGATGCCTAAAGATGCTGTTTGGACACCTAAAAGCGCCGTTTCTTTTTGGTACGCCTTGGCCGAGTTCTTTTCCAAAGGTTGGATTCTTGGCATCGACAGGTCGAGACGAATGCCTTCCACTTCACTTGCGTGATCGCTGCGTGCGGCACTGTGAGCCATTGGTGGCAAGCCTTGCAACTTCTGCAGAGTGCAGAAGAGCAAGAGGTGGGGCTGAGTGCCTTACTCTAGGTTCAAGCCACCAGTTGAGAGATGAGAGGAAAATTGGACTGAATAGGCCCGGCCGATGCCGATGACTGATAGATGACTGGTTCTTGCTTATGGGTATGCCGCTGCCGTAGGTGGCGCCGACTGCTGTGAGCTGCGCTGGCGTCCTGAGCGTTTGCGAAAAGGCTACAGGTCGGTGGCCAACTTGCTTGGAGATCTGGAGGAGCATGCCGAAGTGGTTTCGTGGTGAGCAAAGCAGCTTCGGAAGGAGGAGCGTTTTCTCGAGTAATTACCTTTACCCAACCTGTCCCTGTCAGTCACCGCCCAGATAGGTGTTGAAGGGGAATGTCGCCCAGGTTTTGACTGTACAAAGCACCAGGGCGTTGAACCCACCACTTCGGAGGTACTTCTTGTGCAGGGATGACAATGGGGTCGACCTATGGGTTCCAGGGAGTCCTTCGGGGCCTTTGTGGCTGTCAAGGGCCTTCGTTTCGTTCGGACGACGATCTGGCACCTTCCCTCTTTCTTCTCCATCGTGCTCCGCGATCCCCGCTGACCACGTCCTTCATGAAAAACTCCCATCTGATCGTCAGTTTTCTGAGAACGCGCACCAAGGCAAGTGAATCCCAGCCTCATGGCCTTAAGCTCAGCGGTCAGTGCGTGTGGCAAGGGACTTCAGTGGGACTTGGCATTGCAGACCTTTTCCTCTGGGACAGTGCCATGGCAGAGTCGCTGAAGCCAAAGGTGATCTAGAGCTGATTGGAAGGCATTGAAGATACTGTACCCTGACAACTCCCTTTGAGCATCACCCGAACATCGTATATGTTGGTAGCAGGAAGCACACCAATCGACCCTCTTTTGGTCTCAGCAGACATCAGGTGCACGATGTGGTGAGCTACAGCTCCATGATCAGTGCCTGCGGAGAGTCTGGCCGGTGGGAATTGGCCTTGGAGATTCTGCGAAAGATGATCCAGAGCCGGAAGCTTGGTGGCAAGAGTTCTGTGAGATCGGATGCTTAAAAGTGAGAATGGGAGGGGATGGGTGTGGAAAGGACGAATCCCAACATCATTGCCTACAATGCTGTGATCTCTGCTCATGTAAAGGGCCACCAGTGGCAACGAGCATTGCATCTATTTTGGATTCTGGAGGCAAGACTGCAAGTGAGAAACTTGGAATGGATGAGGGGGTGTTGAAAGCCTATGAATTGGGTCGCCTGAGTAGTTTGCACCTACGAGGAACAGATGTGGCTCCAGGATGTATGGGTCTCTCAAGACGCCCCAGGTTGTTCACTTGTCCAATCTGGTTGACGACTTTTGAGCAAACACCGAAAACCAGCTGTCAGACACATCTCATCGCCAGTATGCAGGCGAAGCCGCCGAGCTCGGAGCTTTCACCGGCGAGCCGAGCTCTCCCACGACCGACTGTCGTCACTTTCAGTGCAGCGATCAGTGCCTGCGACCGGTGGTGGCAAGCCTTGCAGCTCTTGATCCTGGGCTGAACGTTGCAAAGGCTGATCTAGTCTCTGGTCAGTCTCAACATCAATCTTCATGGGAAGATCGAAAGCCAAAGGGTTTGGGGCACATTTCTCCAACAAATTTGAAGGAAGTGGTTTTAGAGGCTAGGCATTTAGAAGATTTGAAGGGAAAAGAGGGTGGACCAATCTTGAAATTGGTTGCATGGAAGCAGCTTTCAACACATTGCCTCCTTCCTGGTACTCCACCAGCTGTGCCAGCTATCCTGATGAGTTTCACTTAGCTGCATGGCTCATGGAAGGGCGAATTCTAGTCTATGCGCCACTTCAACCGAGCCAAGATGTTCATCGAATTGTCTGCTCATGTTGGGGGCTGTTGCCATGGGTTTCTGGATTCGTTGGAAGGGGGTGTTGTCCCGGGGGCGCCAAAACCACTCATCCTCGGTTTTCAGTCTCCCTCCTGGAGGACCCTCATGTTTGCTCGCGCTTTGTCGCCCACCACGGTCACCTTCAATGCAGCGATTGCCGCAGCCGAAAAGGTGGGAGCCGTGAGCCGTGCCATGTGTCGTGAAGAGTGCAGAGGGTGATTTGCCATGGTTCTTCTGCTCCAATGAGCCGGGCGAACTCATTGTTTTGCCTGGGTTCTCAGAGATGAGATGACATTCCCCGGTGCAGAGAAGATTAAATCAGACGCCAAAGTAGAATCGAGAGCCAGTAACCGCAGCAAGCCAGACATACCCCACTTGAGGGCTGCAGAAATTGCACCAGCGATAGACAGTGGTGTGACAAACTCTAAGACCATAAGCAGGAGGCGAGGACAAGTTCTCAGGAACAACATGTGTGGCATTGACAGGGTGGTCAATTCTGGGTGTCAATGTCAAACTCGCAGTCAACAGTCTTCAACAGAGAAATGAACATCTTGCTCGCCTCCTCTATCATTTGGTTGCCAAAGGCAATGTGTCACAGATCTTCTTTTCATGTCGGGTTTGAGACTGGAAGTTTGGTTCAGGGTTGGCCCGTCCACAGGGCATGTTGATGTTTGCTCTCGCGGTCTCTTCTCTTCTCTTCTCTTCTCTTCTCTTCTCAGGCGCAGGAATGGCAAGTTGCACTTCTCCTCCTGGCTGACATGCTGAAACAGCAGGCACCGTGGGTGAGGCAGTTCTTTTTTGTTTGGAATGGGGCGATGGGTAGCTGTTCAAACCAAACACCTCCGTCACCCTGGCCAAACAGACACATTACCTGGTCATCTGGTCCTTTTGCCTTTCTGCTGAAACTGGACACCACAGGTGAACTTTAGGAGGCATGGCTCCCGGCAAGGCATCTGGACAAGTGCATTTGCAGCACTTTACCCGCAGCGTCCCATGCTTGGTCATGACTCAGTTTGTTCCACCCGTGGGAAGTTCCCGTTTCGTTTCAGTCGACTTTTCCACCGGAGGTCTTGCCGTCAGTGGTGAGCTTCAGTTCAGCGGTGAGCGCCTGTGAGAAGTCTCTTCGATGGGAGATGGCGCTTCGATTGATGGACTGGATGCGCAGCGAGAGCGTGGCTAAGCTTAAAGAAATGGAGAGTATTTTCCTTTGAGGATTGTAGTCTCTACAGATGATTTGGTATCCTTGGGTCTTTCTATTTTCTTCTCTGTCAGAGCCGAGCCAATCAATGAGACTCAAGGTGTTTTCTTCCCGGATGTTCCAATACTTTATATATAAGACACTTTGTCCTTTTACCTTTTTCTCTTCGACCTGGCTTAGGTGCTCGCGAATCAAGTCACCTACAATAGCGCAGCTTGGTGGCACGAAATCAACACAAGCTGATAGAAATGGATTTCACAGATGGTGAGATGATGTGAGATGTGTAAGTCCACGGTGCAAAAACCATCTCCAAAAGAGAGGGAGAACCAACGTATTGAGAGGGCTCACACCCTGCTTTTTTTTGGCAAAGTGCAAGTCGTGGACACTGAACGTCTTCAACTTGCTTGCTTAGGTGATCAGCGCCTGCGAAAAGGGGCAGCAGTGGCAGCAGGCAATGCTGTCGCTTTGGAGCATGCCAAAAGCTCTGGTGGACCAGGACGGAGAGACCTGCATGTTGCGACGCTCCTGCACCTCAAACTTTAGGTGTATCCGCCTGATAGGTTTCACTACATTGGACATCTACTACCAGCTGACTCTGGCCACAGAAGCTCTTTGTCCATCGTCGGCTCATACAGCCCAGAAGTTTTTCAGGATTGATTCCTCTAAGGGAGCATCTTGGGCTTATGCGCATTCCAGCCCACATCCTTTTTTTCCTTTCGCTTGTTCCAAGGAGTTACCTCCTTGGGTCATGCAAGCTTGGGACAGCCCACATCCTCCCAAAAGAAATGCGGCCAGACTGACTCCTAGTAGCGTCCTTGCTCCGTTCCTAGCGATGCCCTTTGCTTGAAGTAGCGTCCTTGTTCCTAGCAGTACAGCCAGGAGCCCCTAGTAGCGTCCTTGCTCCTAGTAGCGATGCCAGGAGCCCCTAGTAGCTTCTTGTTCCTAGTAGCGTCCCTTGTGTTGCCGTTTGTTGCGTCCAGGAGCTCCGAAGCTTCGGTGCCGCCTGCGCTGCCGGCGCGCGCGCCTGGCGTTGGCGCGTGGCGCTGGCGCTGGCGCAGCGGGGCGATGGGATGGCTCGGAGCGGGGCAGTGGAAGCGGCCGCAAAGGTGCGCTGCAAGGGAGGTGGTGGGGTGGTGGATCAGTTTCTAACCCCCGATTTTGGTGTCAATGACATGTTTTTGTTGTGTTGACAGTGAGCTTGGCGCGGGCTCAGTCAAGGGACCCTTGCTGAGCTTCACCGGTTTGGACACCCTGCTTTCGACCGATGTTCCGAGCGCAGAAGGACGCGACGTCCAACGGGAGAGCCCCTGGCTCCTGTGTTGGTTTGAAGGCTTTCAACAGACATGTTGACACCCCTGTTGGGTGTGAAGTGAGGCCTACTTTTGACATGACACCTTGGTCGCACCCAGAGATGCGAGGCCCATACATCATCATATATCTCTGGTATGCAAGTGTTGGAGTACCGGTTTGCTGCCGGTGTGCTTTCAGCTTTCTGGCCAACAAAGCTCCTTTTTGGAGAAAGGACTCGCTTCAAACTCTTATCCCACTGCTTGCCTACCACCCGAAGACTACAAACCTTCCTATTGACTGAGAGCCGAAGGCAATGGCCTGGTGCTGGGCATTGTTTCTTTGTGAATCTTGCAATGGTGCCATGGCAAGAAGCCTGACGCTGGAGGCTGGGCATGGGACAGGATGCCAACTCTGCCGGCTGTGGACTTTCGCGAAATTGGGGTCCCTCTGCGGACTTTCGCGAAATTGGGGTCCCTCCCTGAACATGACTTGCATCAGATACGATCCAGGACGTTCTTCCTATGACTTCGTAAGACTGATAGGTTTGTTCCCACCACTGTGGCCAACGTTGGGAGCAGCTGTCAGGTAATTAAGGGATTTTCCAGACAGCTACCGCCCTTGCATTGGGAGGCTTTTTCAATCTATCTCCACTCATGGCCCATGCCCCGCGACATCCTGGTGTCTTCAGGCGTGTGCGGCGTCGGGCCGTGTAGTGCAGCTGCCACCCTTACTGAGTAGCCTGGAAAGAGCTTCCAAGATGGAGGCCTTTTCCTGAGTGGAGGCCAGTGGAGGCCCTTTCGATTCCCAGGACACTCAATCAACCAGAGTCAGAGGCGATGTGTTTCTGGCAGGTGGTACAAGTTGGGATCAAAGGGGGCAGGAATTTTGATGTGTATGCCGTGTCACTTACTGGGTACAAAGATGCCCAAGAGGAGCCAAAGATGGCCAGATTTGTCAAAGCTCCTCGAACACTCGCTTTCCGAACACAAAACAAATTCGTGTTGGAAGCAAGCGGCCCTTTTTTTAGCCCTTGGACCGAAAAGCAAGCACCTCATCGAACGTTTCTTCTGAAGTCAAACTACCTGATAGCATCCTGTCACCTTGTGTGAGCAGTCGTAAGCACATGTCCTGAGACAGGCATACCCTCCCATAAATGTGGAAACGCACGATAGGCATGTGTAGAAGGAAAAGTGCGAGCAGGTCCTATGTCGAAGTTTTTTCTCCAACAATGTGACTCACATCCTCAGCATGTAAGGCTCAGGCAGCGCAGGTGTGGAATCCCAGCATGCTGTGACGAGACAGCTCGGGGGCGTGTTTGGTGTTAAAGAGTTTGCTCGGCAGAAACAGCAAGCAGATGATTCTCGTGGGGGTGTGGCAGGAGCTATACGGACCAGATGATTTCTAGAAGCGTGGTAACCAAATGAATGAATTGTGGAGACTCCCTTTGTCCCTGCCATCTAGCGGAACCATGTTTTTTCTTCCCAGAGTCTTTAGGAGGTCTGCTTATTGCAATACACCCCCACAAGATGTTTCCTTTGGTGATTCATATGTCACTTGCTTCCTCTTGAGGCCAAAGAGCGCCCCCCCGCGAGAGGCGCTTTTCTGCACGGCGGATGCACGGGCGGATGCAATCCTATATTCCACTAGCCAAGCAAGTATGCAGATCTATGATCTCCGGGGAGACCCCCGGCCCCCCAATCGCCCCTTTCTCGCGGGCAGACCAAAGGTCCAAGTCGATTTGGGATCGAACAGGGGGTTTTCGTCTCCGAGCAATACACCTGCAAGTGCTCCACTTTGCAAGTGCTCATTCAAAGTCCAATGGTTCGTCCTCCGCATATCTTACGCAGTCTAGAAATTGGGTGATCAACAGCCTTGTGCTCTGCTTGGTGACGGGCCTGCGTCCAGGTGAGTAACAGCGGGTAACACGTGGTTCAACTAGCCCAGTAGATATGAATGCTTCAATTGGTTAGCCATCTTGCGGGAAACTCCCCAACGGTGCAGCCTTACAAGTCGATGCGCTAGTCGATGCCAGCTTCTACTGAGACAAGCACTGGACATGTCCATCATTCATGTAACAGTTGAAGCATTTTGTGCGAATAGTCTTTTCCATGGGCTTGTTTCATTTCTAATTCATCTAAGGCATTTATATTTCATTTATAATTCATCTTTGTAGCACTAATGGCTGGGTGTCCGTTTGTGCGAGCTGATCGCCTGGTCGACCTGGACCTGTCTCAGGCGGCATCCGTGTGTGGATCTCAGAGTGACTGAGTGACTTTCTGAAAGAGAGACGGACTGATCTTAGTGGACTAAGTAGCAAGAAGCTACCAGGAACAAAGGGCATCGCTAGGAGCAAGAAGCTACGAACGTAGCTCCAGGCCATACTACTAGGAGCAAGAAGCTACTAGTACCTGATCCAATTTGGAACAAGAAACAATTGGCTATCTCCCTGGTGAACCACAGATTCCATCAACAGATGCAAATCAGATGGACGCTCCTTCTTTTAGGGGATGTCAAGCTTCCATGGATTGCAGGGTGAGGTTTTGACCCACAGCCAATTACAAAGCAAAAGTCTAAAAGATGCATATCTCAAGAAATCAAGGTGAAACTCCCTACGAAGTGAGGTCTCTTTCAAGCTTGTTTTTGAGACAGCTTTCTTATCTGAAACACATGGGACCTTTGTAAGGGGCCTCCGTCAATTGAACTGCTATGAAGCGACAGCACCGACCGCTGGCCCTGACTCTCTGACTCACCCGGTTTTTGGGACGTGAACAGCACTTGGGGACAGCCGCGGGACGGCACACCCAAAAACCATGTGGTAGAAGGAGCTTTGCGGGACGAGCGCGTGAACCATCCTCCCGGACTTCTTCTCCTTTTTCTTGGAACGCCCAGGACAGCGGAGCGACATCGACGCACCTCCTTGAAGTTGCAGCACGAGGTGCATCCGATTCAGGCCCTTGGCCTTGTACCATTGGTTGGTTGATAGACGGGAAACCCTTAAGTGTATGCAATATCTTTTTTGGTACCAAACCGATCCCCCTATTATTCCCAAATGACATCATTGATCTGGAAAAGGGTTCGTTGTGGGGGTGAGGGTCTGGCCGTTCGTGCGTGGGCCTTTTGATGCGGGCAGCAGGGCAGCGGCAGATGTGGCTGCTGGTGGACTGGTGGTCATTGGATCAATTGGCCCCGAGTTGAAGACAGATGAACTCGATTTAAGGGTCGAAAGACCTGCCCATAGGCTGGTGTCTCGGGCTTCCAGGAAAAAGGGATGTCAAAAGCACAAAGACTCCTAGAAGATGTTCTGAAGTATGTCAATCAGTATCACATGTTCCTCCTGTTCATGGGCAGAATGAGCATAGATGTTCACTGCAGGCGTTGTTCAAGACTACAGTCATTTTGCCTCAGGACAAGTTTCGCATTTTCGGTTGGGGTTGCACACTCCCCCGACACTATCATGGCATCGGACTGCTTGGTTTCAAGACATTCGAGACCAACGTTTGGAAAGCACAAACAAGAGACACAGACAAAAGAACACCTGCAGAGCGAGTCCATGTTACAGATGTGCTGAAACCGAGACACATGGCCTAACTGGGAGATCCACTCCGTCCGCCGTAACTCGCAAAGGACGTTGACACGGCGGACGGAGCTGACCAAACGGATTTTCATCCCCCACCATTAGAGCTCTTTTGGGCTTTTGTGGTACGAAGTCCCATTCTTTCTGGCAGAGCTGTTGCAAAGGTCGATCCAAATGCGCTGAAAAGGATCCTCCAAGCGCCCAGATTTTTCTAGACTCCGCTACTAGTACTCTCCCAACATCAAACTCGGGCATCGAGGGTCTCAAATTGGTCTCAAAGGGCTCCCCATGGAAAGATGTTCTGAATGGCTTGATGCTCTCCATGTTTGTAGAGGTTTACAAGTAAGCGGATTCAAGGCAGGTATGGGAATGTGTCCCTAGACCCACCCTCCGTATGGGCTCAGACACCGGGAGGGCGCCGAGCTCTGGGAAGCCTTGCGCCAGTACCGAGAAAAGGTGGGGCGCTGGGGCCGGCGGCGAATAGGGCGCATGGGGCACTGGAGCCACCCTGGTCATGGGGGACGAGCAATAGGTATACACCATTATGCTTCTCTTCACATTCCAAGAGAAGAGGTTGACGGAACTGTTGCACTTGTAGATGAAAGGGATCGTTGGGTGAAGAGGAAAGGAGGTTGGTTGGTGCTTTGAGCACACCAATCAGTTGGTGCTTTGAGCACACCAATCAGTTTTCTCAACTGCAACGTAAACCTTTATTATCCTTTATTCCTGTCAGGATGGTTTATGGATGATGACGGATGGATGTGCTTTGAGAGATCTCCGCAGAACGAGAGCCAGATCCATAGTCCACTAGGCTTTGGATGTCATGTTTGGATGAGTCTTGTATCTCACCATCCCATTCAGACATCCATCGCTCATTATAGTTTGCCCGGTTCCACCAACAAACCTCGAAGTCTAAATGGGTTCATGGATGCTGCAGATGGCCATTGGCCCTTCACCCTCGTCAGATTCTTCACCGCCACTCCAGTGCCGGAGTGGGTCAAAGAGTTCCAAACCCATTTTGCTACTTGCAGCGGCCATCCATCGTTTCCAAAAACCGGGCTTTGTCTGAAGAGTGTTTCAAGAGACATCCCCCCACACATCCACCTCTCAAGGACCCTTTTCGGCCGTTTTCGGCCAGGCCCAGCGAGATTGTGAGGCCGTGGTCTCAAAGCAGGACTTGGCCAAAGAGGAGTTACTCCAGGTAGGATTGACATTTCTGAGATGCTACAAGAACAGGATTTGCATCCTGCCTCCATGTGGGTGAATCTTAGAGATACTGTCGCTTTAGTTGAGGAAATCCAACATGGATTGGCAGCGAAACAAATCGTTTGCTATTCTTTGTAGGCCTTCAAGTCGCGCGACAGCACGCGCTACTTGGTGGCGCTGGAGGCTGCCCTTGAGGCGGAAGTGGAGCCTCAGGACATTCCCTGTGTCGCTTGCCTTGTGCCTGCCGTCGGTGGGGGTGGGTGGGGGTGGGTGGATCCCTTGAAAGGCCATGGTAGCCAGGTGTGTTCTGAGTGTTGCTGCCTGGTTGGGAGAATTTGGCGGCTAGAAGAACCACCAGAGCGTTGGCAGATGTTCTTCAAAGGTCATGTTCGGCAGCGGAAGACCACAGAAGGCAGTGGGTGGTGGTGCTTTTCATCACGTTCCGGGAGCATGCTCCCATGATGGGCATGGAGTTGTGTCACCCTTTCCTTGTGGGGACTAGGTGGCGCAATGAATTCATGTCATGAGAAAGACACTCCGAGTCACTAACATGAAGTGGACAACCACCTGTTAGCAGAGGAAAATGATCATCCAAGGCGCCATTTTCCACTTTCACTTCCATGATACTTTCGGGGAGTATATGGTGACTCATCTTCGGTTGGTAGGTCTGGGATGAGTAGGTCAATTCGAGGTTCATTCAGCATTCGTTCGATCGATTGATTTCAGGTGGTTGGTCAAGATGGCATTGTTCAATGCCATTTTGGCTCAAGATCTTGAGCTCCACCGGTTTTTTCTGCGATCGCTCCGCTCGGAGGGCCTGGGGTCATGTCGTACCGTGGCAGCCACCGTGGTGGAGGAGGTCACTGGCCGAGTGGTAGAGGCTCAGGAGGATCTCAAGGGGCATCGTTCAGTTCTGCCGGAGCCAGCGCAGCTCACAACCCCTTCGAGGTCAAGATTCCAAAGTTCTTAGACTGGCTCGAGGTCAACACTGAGAACGAGACGGAGAGCTCCATCAGTATGGTCGACAATCGTGACTGGCGAATGGTCTCGCCTTTCCAGTCATGGTTGACCAAGGAGATCATGTCGAATGCAGCCAGCTCCATCAACGTGTTGACAGAACGGGATCAGGTGATGCCGACAAGTTCTGGTTTCCACCTGTCGCTGTTCGCAAACTACACGCTCGATGGGATCAAGGCAGTTTTGGTTGTGTCGAACGACACGGAGACAGGGGCGACGAATGCTGGATGGGACCGCCACACTGCTACGGCTCTGGCGCACCCTGCTTTTCAGCCATTCACCTGGCCATTGCTCCGTGATACCTCAGCATCGTACACTGACGTCAAGGTGTATAATGTAAATGAGATTTTGTTCCACTGGGTGTTCCGTGGCTATCGAGCTGACACGGACTTGACGGTCCAACAACAGTTCGTGGACGAGGTGCTAGTTCGGGAAGCCAACAAAGGAAAGCCTAAGCTTTCCATCGTGGTCGCATCGTTCATGGGCTGGAGGGTCACCGTGTTCTCGTTCGAGTGCGGTGGCAGGACATACTCAGTGGGGCCGCAAGGGGCCGTGATTGCTGGAGACCATGCTCGCTCGAGGTTTGAACTGAGAGTTTGCAGTCGTTCTTCACCGGATGCCATGGGGAACGACGCTGACAGAGTTGAGTTCCGTTTCAGGGACGCCAACAACAGGCTGGATCTCAAGTGCGCCAGGACATCAGTGCCTGGCACATGGCTCACAGTATCCCACATCCCAGGGCCTGCTCTGATTCAGACCATTCAGAATGTTCGCAATGCAAGAGCTCGAGTTGAAGGTGCTGAACATACTGAGCAGTTCGCTCAGTTGGCTGCAGTTCACCAGGCATGGTGGGAGAATGCAGTGGCCGGATCCGCAACTAAGGTAGGCTCCACTACAGACTTCATTGGCGACCTCGAGAAGGGAAACTTCCACATCACTTGCACATCCAAGTTGTGGGTGGTGGTTCCGGAGGTCGTCAACCAGAAGGCGCTCGCCGAGATGCAGCACGAGGGCACCGGTCGTGCAGCCCCCATCGGACCTCCAGCGCTCACTGGTGAAGCATGGGGCCATGCCGCACAGGAAGCCAATGCGGATGATGGCATGGCCGGCATTGGGCTGTCAGTTCGGGCCCAGGCCGACTATGAGCTCTCGCGCCGGGCTCTCAACAAGGGGGAGGTGTGGTCAACTGGTCACGAACCAGATGGGGAGCGAGATCTCGCCAGGCTTGACCGCCGGTACGCTCGTTCATCGGCAGCAGTCACCCCGGGCGTGTTCGCGGCTCAGATTTCTCAGAAACGGTTCAACGAGACCACAGCCACGATCGAGGAGCTTGATCTGCCGCCGGGTGATCTAGAGTTGCCATCCAGAGCGGCTGATCAGCCCAAAGCACCAAGTCCGGTGCCAGCTTCGCAGCCCTACATCGGCGGCTCAGTCGGTAGAACAGGCCCAAGATCAGGGCCCCGGCTCGGCTCCGGTGTCGCTGGGCCCTTCCGCTGCCAGCCAGTGAGAACGGCTGATCAGCTGGAGGTTGAAGATCCTTTTTTCCACTGGCCAGATCGAGCCAGGTTCGTTTTTGATGGAGTGAAAAACTTGAAAGCGGATCGTTGTGTCATGTTCATGATCTGTAGATTTATATATAACATATATGACTTGGATAATTTATTGCTTTGATATAAGTTCTTTGACTTTGTGATCTGTTGGATTGATCATGCGAGACATTCGTTCGTTCGGCACGAGCGTTGCAAGTGATGGGGGGTTGGGAGGAGCTCAAACCAGGCAGGTCCGATCGGCACCTGTGTCCAGGGTGGGTTCCCGTCCTTCCCCGGTGTTCACCTTCCAGTCTGGGCATTCGAGGCCCCCACCGTTCGTGGCGTTCGACCCTTTTTGCTTTGACGTCGCTCGACGCGCTGCAGGTCAGATCCTCAGAGCGTGGCGGTAACCAAGATCCCTGGTTGCCGCTTCGCGGGGCGGACGAGGGCGGTCGTCGGTGTTGTCGTCGTTGTCGCTCGTCGGTTCGGGTTTCGTTCATGCGTTCGTCGATCGGCGAGCGCGGGTTCGAGACTGGGAGATGGGCGCACGTCATCCAATGCATGAATTTTTCATTTGCTTGTTCATGCATGCCATACATCAGTAGTGATCACTACTTTGTTTGACATGCTTACCCCTTCCACCATGGATCGTTCGATCGCGGCGTTCCTGCAATTGCCCATTTTCGATGAGAAGTTCGCGGATGGGCTGGAGCGCATGGGTTTGGCGCGCTCGGAGTTCTGGCTGACGCTGGACGCGAATGAGAGCGCGGACGAACAGATCGCTCGGTTCGTAGGGGTGATCGATGTTGAACAAGAGATCAAGGATCAGGTCCTGACTAGGATCGATTGTGCACCACTGCTCTATGATATGATCCATAGGGCTCGGGAGATTGCCACAGATCTGGGCTTTGGGGCGCTTGATCATGGCTGCACTGTCTACCCCCTCACCACTGAAGTTTTCACTCGGTATTGCGCGTGGCTGGAGAACCGGTCGTGCAGGCCAGCTGTGATTCCTGCTCTCACCTACGCAGCAAGGTGGGTTTGCAAGAGGCTGGCCATGGATCCTCCAGATGTGAAAGCTCCGCGCGTTGCAGCTCTGATCGAGAAGGTCTATACAGATCGCGGCAAGGAGCTCAAAGAGGCGCCACCCGTTCCGATTCTAGCAGTATCAGCTCTCGAATATTATCTAAATTGTTTGATCCTTGATTGCAAGATCCCTGCTGCAATTTTTGTTTGGTGGACGTTGATTTTGATTTATGCATCTTTGCGATGGGACGACGGCAAACACGTTGCCGCATGATCTCTGAAGTTCACGCCTGATGCCCTGCTCGGGGTTGTGTGGCAGACCAAGGTTGAGTGGAAACGTAAAGGGACTAGGTTCGCCGTTCCGTTTTGTTCCGTTTCAGGGGTGCCGTGGCTCGAGCAGGGGTGGCGGGTTTTTCAGGAGTTTATCGATGACCGGGATTTCTTTCTTTGGGATCTATCGTCCGAAACCAAATTCGATCGGGTCCCAGTAAGTTATCCTAGGAGTGCCATGTGGCTCCAGTTTTTCCTAAGGCAGGCGCTGGAGGTCGCGCATCGCGATCGTGTCCTGACCGATGATCAAATCGATACGGTTGGACCGTTGTGCGACGAGGTCACGTGGCACTCCATGAGAGTCACATTGCTCGATGCAGCAGTGCATTCCAAGACAGACGATAAGTTGATTGCGCTCCAGGCCAACTGGAAGGATCCTTCCCAGCTGGTCCTGAAGTATGCGCGTCAACGTAAACAGTTGTCTGTTCAGATGGTGAAGGATCTGGCGCTGCAGCTCAGAGAGCAGTGGAAGCCGGACGTCGAAACTTTTGAGATCGAGGACGTTCCGGATGTTGTAGAACCCGACGTGCCTGAATACGTCGTTCGTTCGAAGCTGCCGTCGAAAGCTCTGGTAGCATCGGACTTACGATGCCACGTTCGGTTGTGCAGTGCCAATCCGACACACACGCTCTGTGGCCGGGTCAAACTCGCAGACGCGACGTCCTTTGGCCCTGAACCGCCGGGGATGGTCTGTCAGCATTGCTCGAACAAGCTCAAATCGGCATAGAGCGACATTTCTCCCTGCAGATCTAAGGGCCATGAAGAAAATTGAGCGTTGAGTGATTCGAATTTGTTTTTGCAAAAGGAAGATAGACATTTTTTATGAGTATGCAAACGATGATTTGTTTTTAAGTAGCTCTGAGTCAGTTTTCTGTTTATGATCCCTCGACTTCGGGCAGCATTTGATCCGATTGCTCAAGTCAGCAAGATGGTCGATCGCACGACATACACCGATGACGCACACACGCGCAAGATCGCTTTACGGCAGATCTTCGGGCGACACTCGCTCCGAGAGGGCTTGTGTGTGGCAGCGGCCGATGCAGGCCTACTCTCAGTGGAAGTGTTCTCCATGCTCGGCGACACAGCTGAAAAAGCAAAGGACACCATCAAATCGATGATTCCTGAAGATCAGCTTGGTGGCTCCACCGCTGAGCGTGACCTGGCGGTCATGCAGCTCGCTGCCGTGTGGCTCGCCTGCCAGGCGCTCCAGACTCAATTTGCCTCCCGCCGAGCTCGCGTGGAGGAAGATCCATCGAAAGTGCCGGAGATGGCGCAAGAAGATCACGCAGAGTTCCGAGCTCGGTTCGTTCGCATGCATCCTGATGTGATCCTCATCGACGCTCGAGAGCCACGCAAGAAGTTCGTGGAAAAGCTCAACCGTGATTTCTTAGTGCAAGGCATGGTGCCGTTCTACACTTTGGCAGAGGTCCGAACTCGGGCAGACACCATTGTGCAGAAGTCCGGATTGACGAAGAATGCAGAAGATCTGCTCACGATCGCCAAAGCTGAAGAACCGGACTCTGTTACAGATGTCAGCACGTTGTTCAACCGCATCCATGCTCTGTTCATGGCATTGGAGTACTTGCACATTTGCCAGTACTCGCGCCCAGCCGGGCCATGGAATACCTGCAGCAGCTCGAGCAGTTCCGGCAAGAGTGCCCCGGGCTCCCCTTCATCATGGCTGCAGATACGGCCATTCGCAAGAAGGTTTTCGCCTTCAGGCGGAACAGCGAGAGAAATTCAATTGGAATGATGCTCGCACCAAGGCGGCTTTGTCAAAGCCTGATCACAAGAAGGAAGCTGAAGCTCAGCCAGATGCAGTCGAGCTCAACGACAAGCCCGGCTCTCCATCCAAGAAGAAGCGCGCCAGATCGAGCGCCTTCGTGACCAGCTCAAACAGAGCGCAGCCAAGACGACCAAGGTCGATCGACCTGCTCCGGACAAGGACAAAAGGATCCCATCGTCCGAGTGGCAGACGATCACCGCAGCATCGCAGTCGGTCAAGGGGCCAAAGCGCTGTCACTACTTCAACTCGTCCATGGGATGTTCCATGGGCGACAAGTGCCGCTTCAAGCATTTGTGCATGAAGTGCGGCGCGGCTCACCCGATGGTGGGCAACCACTGAGGCCGCTCGGCCAGCCCTGCCAGGCCGACGAATGAAAAGGAGGATCCACCTTCTTTGATTGATGCGGACTGGTGTTGGGGCTCCTTGCAGTTGCCCAAATCGGGAAAATTTTTCCTTGAGATTTTTGCAGGAGAAGCAGTTTTGACCAGAGCTTTTCAGGCTCTCAATTTTCCAACTTTGCCACCAATAGAGCTCACAGCCAACCAATTCGTTCCCAGCTCCACTGATGTCACCAATGAGGATGTTCTTCGTCACCTACAGCTGTTGTTCGACCAAGGGTTCATTTGCTACGTGCATTTTGGCACGCCCTGCTCGTCTTTCAGCTTGGCTCGGAAGAACGATGGAGGACCTCCCCCTCTTCGTGATCGCCAAAATCTCTGGGGCTTACCAGGCCTTAGCTCACAAGACCAGGAGAAGGTTCGTTTGGGAAACAAGCTCATGGACATCACAGTCAAGCTCGCGCTGAACGCCCATGAATCGGGTACTTACTGGTCCATCGAGAACCCACTTGGTTCGTACTTGTGCCGCCCGTGAGACGTTTGCAGCGCACTTCCGGCGCTCACAGGGTCGAGTTCGACGTGTGCCGTTTTCAGGCACCCCACCTCAAGCCCACCGCACTGGTGGCCACGGTGGACTTGTCGCCTTTGGCTCAGCGCTGCGACCAGAAGGAGCGCCCTCACCATCATGAGGCGCTGCATGGCATCATCAAGATCGATGGCAAGTCAGTTTTTCGGACAAAGCTCGCCCAGGTCTACCCTGTAGAGCTTTGCCGCCAATGGGCTCTGTGCGCAACTGCCGTGGGTGATCCTTTGGCCTTGACCTTCAACATGATCACCCCCGAGCAGGAAAGAAAGCGTCCGCTCGGACAGCCTGTGGCATGGCAACCACACGCGCAGCAGACATCGGCTGAGAAGGCCACATCGGCCGGATACCAGCTCAAGCAGTCTGCTTTGCCACCACTGATTCCGGTTGAAATGGAACCGGGAGAAGCCGTTCGGCATGCTCTCAACACAGTGCACCCTTTTTCCTACTCGACGACAATCGATCCGGATCTACAAGAGGCACTGTCATTCACTGTGCATTCACCAGCCTGGCTCCTTGAATATAGAGCCAGCTCTTTGCTGTACTGGGAACGCAGAGCTCATGACTTGTTGCCGCGCACGGACGCGATCCTGCAAGCAGTGCCTGACACATGGCTCCGCACTCTTTTGCGTGGCGCTCGTGATCACGAGCCGTTGCAATTGGGCCAACGCACACATGTGGCTTTGTGGGAAGAGCTCATGCAGCACGCAAAATCAGTCGACACCCAGTTGGTCAAAGAGATGACGACAGGAATGTCGATAGTCGAGGACATTCGTCGGGCTCATAGATGGGAGCCCTATGACAAACCCCAAGAGCTCATGCCTTTTTCTCAGTTGAAGGACAGGGCCTGGGAGTTCCGTCAGAAGGTGCTCCGAAATGTTCTCAAATGTGCAGTCACAGACAACACTCAAAAAGTCTGGGACGCCACGATCGAAGATGTGAAAGAAGGGCTCACACAAGGTCCTTTCTATGATCAGAAAGAAGTCTCACGCTTGGTGGGCGACCCATGGATCCCTACTCAAAGGTTCGAAGTGGTCCAAAAGAACAAGGTGAGGGGGGTCGAGGATCAACAAGGCCACCAAGATCGTCGAAAAGCTGGATCTCCCCTCAACGGATGTGAATGTCGCAGTTCTTCGCTGGCTCAAAACGCGAGCAGGTGCTGGTGCTGTCAAAGGGTGGGTGCTCGACGAGAGAAAGGCATACAGACAAGTGCCAATCCACCCATCACACAGACGCTGGAGCGTGATCTGCATGAGGGATCCCTCAGATGGGAGACTTGCTTTCTTCATCATGGTAGGTCATTCGTTCGGACTAGTATCTGCTGTATACAATTATACAACAGAAGGTCAGCTGCCACTACTGACATTTTGAGAAGGGTCTTTTTGGTAGCTGCTTTCAATTTCTACGACGACAAGTACGGGTTCGAACCATCGTCGACGATCGATTCGGCTTACACGGCGGCGCAAGCGGTTCATGTCTGGCTTGGAGCTAGGTTTGACCAAAAGAAGCTGCAGTGTTCTGATCAACCCACCATCCTTGGGGTCACCTACGATCTCGTCAACATGCAACTGCTGATCAAGCAGGATCGGAAGACAGAGCTAGCAGATGAGATCGTCTCGATCCTCGAAAGCCAAAGGCTCACCCCAGGTCAGGCCTGCGAGCATTGTCTGAAAGACAATATTCCATGGCACCCGTGACTTCTCTCAACAGGGCTCTGAAGGCCTCAACGGTCCCCCAAGGCGGATTAACGAGCTCGAAGCCAGGCTGCCCGATGCCGTTATTTTCACTGATGGCAGTTTTCCCGAAGGCCGAGCTGACAGTTTGATTTTCCCTTGGATAGGAGGTGTTCTTTTTGCCAAAAATAAACAACCCCTCCAGGTCGGGGCTAGGGTCAGCCAAGAGCTCATAGATCAGTGGCTGCCCCGCAAGTCTCAGATAGCCATGGTAGAGATGTTTGCAGTTGTGGTCGCTCTCGAGACATTTCGGGACGAGATCGATCACCAGTGGATTTTAATGTTCGTGGATTCCGAACCGGTTCAAGGTGCGTTGGTCAAAGGATACTCGGCTCGCGAAGACATGTGCGAGCTGACAGGTGTGTTTTGGAGGCTCGCATTAGAATTGCGGGTCTGCACATACATCGATCGGGTATCCACCGATGCTAACCCGGCGGATCCGCCATCTAGGGATAGAATGGGTATAGGCGTGGCTCTATAGGGTGGAAGACGATACCTGCTAAGTTCCCAGAACTAAGGAACAGCGTGGGTCAGAAAGCAATGGACAGTTGAAGGAGTTCGTTCTGCGAACACAAGTTCTGAGCTCATTTTCCTCTGTTCAGAGATCGCCAAGTTTAATCTGATGATCTAACCTTCCACTTACCCACGTCTTCCGGAAGGAAAAGGACAGGCGCGCTCGCGGCTGCTGTTTCTTTTTCTTCTTTGGGAATGAATGCGGAGTGCCCTGTTCAGGGCACGGGATGAAACGGAATTGATATATATATATATATATACACATACAGTATCCCTAAAACTACTCTCTATGCCCTAGGCTATTGATTTCCTCGGGAATGTTGGGAGCAGGAGTGATGCGCATTCACCGACGAGCCCCTGAAAGACGCTGAAATTGCTGAAACGTCTCCAGATCATCCCAATTCCACCACACGAAGACCTACCACCGAGACGTCCTTTTTGAGATGGTTCTGCCAGGCCCATTTCCAGGATTTAGAATTAAGCAACCACCGCAGATGACCACTTTGGATACATGTGTTCCTGTTAAGATCTCGACCAATCTGTTTCGTGCAGCATTCGTCGATAATCTGCACCAAGGGCTTTTTGCCACCCTGTTTTCATTGTTCCAGTGGAGGACGAGAGTTGGGTAAACATTCGGAGAGGGGAGGAGAGTCTTGCATTGGCTCGAACAAACCATCCAAACCTTTGTTTTCCTTCCCTTTGTTTCAATATGGTGGTCAGCTATTCTAGCTATTCTTACATTTTTTTGGAGGACACCTGCACCCCCTTGGAGAATTTGGGCATTTGCGGTGGGCCAAGTTCCAAGGCTTTCATCCACTTTTTCAGCACTCGCCCCGAGGTCTACAGCCTCCACCGAGTTTCAGGATCTTTCGAAGTTCATAAGATTGATTTGAGGAGGCGGACCTTCAGCGCGCAGCTGTGCTTCATCTTAGACTACACCAGCAGTATGAAGACTCAGGTGGGAAGTTTAGGCATTTCTTTTTGGTCGCGAAGGGCAAAGGAAAGCGCGTAAGCGAGAACATCTGCCGGAAGGATCAACAGACGTGTGGACATCAGGTGTTTTTGTGTCCTTCTTCACTCTCTTGACGCCGGATGATGTGGTTTTTTCTGACATGTCAAACACTCGGGATTCTGACCGATTCCGAACCCCGCCTGGTCCACCAGGTTCAGGAGGTGAAGTCGGCCGTCCCCCGCATCATCGAGGCGGTGCGCCAGCTCCACTTGCCCTTGACGCCCAATGCGCGCGTGGACCTGGAGATGAGCTGTGTGGCCTACAACGACTGGGACGAAGACACCTTTCGTCTGGGCCGGCCAGTGGTTGCGATCTTCCAAGGGCAAGAGATTCGACACGCACATGGAGAGCCACTGCTCAGGGAGGAAGACTTCAATCTGGGCGGTGAGTTTACCAGGAAGGCGGAAGCCTTGGAGGCTGGTGGGTCACTTTTCCTTCTCTATTTATCAGCGCTCAATCATCGATTTTTGTCGGCCTTTGGAAGACATGCACCCCCCCATTTTCTCACCGTTTTTCCCGGAGTCCTGGATCGAATCGAAGCAGGCTTGGATCGATCAGGGTCTCGGGCATGGCGGCTTTGTTCCTGAAGAGCTCACTGGAGCCTTGCTGGCTGCTTCTTACCTCCCCTGGAACGCTGAGAACGAGAGCGAGCCCAGTGCCTGTGCCAAGCTGGCAGTGGTCATTACAGATGCGCCCTGCCACGGCAAGGCGCGGGGCTAGGTTGTTGGAGGACACACGCAAAATGGCAGCTTTTTTGGGGTGTGGGCTTTTCGGGGTGTGGAAAGTGGAAAGGGGATGAAAGGGGTATTGTCGCTGGCTTGCATGGGCACCCAATTCCTTTAGCTGCCTGCATATCCATCGAAGGCTTCTTAACAGAGCCCATTCCAAGTCTTTTATGGGTTGGCAGAAGAGCGACCCAGGTTTCGCACCGTTTCAGTTTGGCCACACCAAACCCATTGGACTTCCCCAACTAACTATCTCCCAACCGGCCAAATCAAGCAGTTTTTTTTGCAGACCAAGACCCCACAAGCACTGGAGGATGGACAACCCTTAACCTCTATGGACACCCCGAAACGGCCACGACTGTTTCTCGGCTTGGCCCCTGCCCTCTCTCTCTGTTGGGAGCGGGGCCCGACCGGACCATCGGCCAGACGAGGCCTACAGCGCGGTGGCGCACGACGTCTTCTGCGACCGCTCGACGGGGCTCACCTGCAGCGGATGCCCGGAGGTGCCCTTGCGGCGCCTGCGCGAGCAAGGTGTGCAGGTGGCGATCTTCCATACAGGAGAAGGCGGGAAGGAGGTCGGAAGGCGACCGGTGTGGGGTGTAAGGAACGAAAGGGACGAAAGAGACCACACGATCCATCCGATCCAGATAGTGATAGGCCGCAAAAAGCCTCTTCCATTCACCGGAGCCTTCCATCCTCCAGGCCCTGCAGTGTCGATGTGTGAAAAGCTGTGTGCCTCGGAGCCGGACCTGATCCATGAGAAGGTGGATCCATCGGCGACAGCTCAGAAGCTGGTGAATCTCCTGGAAGGCCCGGGACAGGTGGAGCCGAGTGTGGAGCCGCAAGAGCTGGCGCGGGAGGGTTCGGAGCTTTTCTTGTAGCTGATGGGTTGGTACAGTAGGTGCAGGGAAGGAGAACCATTCCCCGAGAAATGGGGGTCTCTCCATGTGCCATAACTTGGAACTGTTGAAGGTGGGTGTCACTGTTGAGCTTGTGCTGTTGCACTTTGCTACTTCAGATGATTCCAGGCCAACTTGTAGCAGGTCGTCCACAGTCCAGGCCACTTCCAGATGCCCCCCAAGCGGTGCCAGATGACAATCAGGCAATGGGCTTTTTCAGTGGTTACTGGGTGGATCTCTGAATTTGTCCTGGGATCTGGCTTGTACACGTGTAAATCTGCTCGCACCAGGGCAGACCGAGTTCGAGTTTGCTATCCTTGTCCAATCTGTGGGGTTGTGCAACTGGCCATGCTGCCGTTGTAGAGTTGGCACTCAAACGGACATCAAGGTGGTTGCTCGCCCCAAAAAAACTTGCACACTTGCTTCACCCCATTGTTCACGATGTTCTGACCAGCCTTGTGAGTCTTGTAACACCAGCGGCTGTCCGACAGGTTCTGGAAGCAGTTTTTGTGCTAATTCCAATACGATCTTGCAGTGTGTGACATTGTTGCAAAGATTGTGTTGTGCTTGCATAATGCTGCAATGCAACTGTCAACCAACTGGACTGTTTGGCTTCCTCCTGAGCCATTTGCTTTTGCGAGTGAGCCTGTGTTGACAGCCCTGGCCCTACCCACAAGAGCTAATGCACTGGATTGTTGCTTATGGTAATCCCAATACGCTTTTGTCACACCGGCCATGGCCGGGTGTGGGGCAGACCGCAACAGGACGGTGGATTCTAGAGTGTATGATGGGCTAAGACGATGGGCGAAGTGTGCTCACTGGGCGCCCCAAAATGACCTCTGCACCGGTCCTGGCCTTTTGGTACATACGCCGAAAGTCATCAACATCATGCCACATCTCTGACTCTGAAGGGATCAGTTTTTTCTTGAAAAGCAGACCCTGTCCTCTTCCAGGGAAGCTGAAGCTACAGCCGCTGTCGTACGTCCTCAAGACCTTCAGCCTGGGACAGCCCGAAACGCCACATCTGGATCTGGCGCTGGCGCATGACATGGAGGTGGAAGATGGCGATGGCCAGAAGGAGAGGTACAAGATTGGTAGCTTGGCAAGTCTGACAGATCCGGTGGGCTCCAGCTCTGCAAACTTGGTTGGTTTGAGTGAGGCCCCGCAAGTCACTTTGCGGTTTCTTGGGGAAACAGAATAAGGACTCTGACAAACTCTCTCAGTCAGGACTGGCTAATCTCAATGATCTCTCGCATTCTCTAACCATCCTCGTTGACATTTCCTTTATGAAATGGGCGGCCTTGAGGCCCGTATAGTTCCTCTTCATTCGGTAGTGTTTTAGGTGGTACCCGCCAAATTATATCTATAAAATGGCTGACACAACCCCTCCTAGTGAATGCTAATGGGGATCTCTAACCAAATCTTGGCCCAGTTTGCGTTCTTGCGTTCTTCGCCAGCCTGCCTGCCGATCCGGAGACCTGTGCATCTGAGGACTGGATGGCCTCCTTTTCCTGGGCTTTCCTGAGAGGAACCCTAAGGTCGTGGTCCGTCGACCACTGGATTCCAAGCTGGACCCTCTCTATGAGCGGAGGAGAAGCTTGGGCGCAAACCTAGGGCGATTATCAAGTTGGGGTCGTGGAGCAGCTTTGGAACGAGCTATATAAAGTAAGTGCAGTGACCCAAAGTTTTTCTAGCTGTTGTATCCTTTTTGAGACCTCGGCAAACCTCACCCACCCAGAGCACCTGCCAACATGCCAATTCCATGGGAGATCTCGGAGCCCCGGCTATTTCCGGGGTTTCTCTTTCACGTCCCATCGCTAGTAGGTTGGAGGCCATCGATACTAGGGTGGAGGCCATCGCTATTAGGAGGAAGGACGCTACGAGGGGCCTCCTGGCCTTACTACTAGGAACAAGAAGCTACTAGGGGCTCCTGGCATCGCTACTGGGAGCAAGGACGCTTAGGGTGGAGGCCATCGCTAGTAGGTTTTCACATCCCAACGATGCCCAGTGACGCTCGGGACGCTGAATACTATTGAATACGCTGAATACGCTGAGTACGAGGTGAGCTGGTGGAGCTGCCGCGCGTCTACGCTGGGTGCGGGTGCCATGAGCTGCGGATGTGGCCCTTGCGGGGTGAAGGCCGGGGGGGAGGAGCAGGCAGCGCTTCTGAAAGGGCGTTGCTTTTTGTTTTCATGAACTCATTCATGTGGAAAATACCACATATTGGCAGAAGGCACTGCTCGGGAGTGGTGCATCATGGCCAAATCATTCTGAGTAAACTTTAGTAAACACCACATAGGTACATATTTGTCCAGTGGTCCATCTTGTTCATATTTTGGGTTCCGGGGGTTTGGGAGTAGACGAATAAGGCATGCCCGGTCCCACGGGGTCCGAGACGACGCATCCACACGGTCCCCTTGCTGAGCACCGGGCGCCGGTGGGGTGAGCCTCTGCATCCTCGCACTCCCGTCCGATGGCTCCCCTTGTGGGACGGGTTGATGCTTCACTGTGGACTCTGGTCGGAGCAGTGACACAAATTCGTTGGAGAGAACAAGCAAAAAGATCAGACAAGATTACATGGGCACCTCCCACGTAGAGAGTTGCTTTGGATTGCAAAGACTCTTCTTGTTGCTTAGACTCTACTCGTCAAGAGTTTACATTTTTGGAGCTTCCAACACTCGCAAATCTGGGTCACAGCCAGCGCCCGGAAGGTGCCGATGCGTCGTGCCGAGAGCAGATCACAATGCGTCAGCTCGTCCACATGTTTGTTGATCTGCTCTCCCAGAGAACTGTCCCATGTCTCCTCCACCTATCCTGGAGATGCCACCTATCCCGGTCCGTCTTTTCGACAGCCCATGGTTTCGAACAGACAAATCCCAAAACCTTTTCTGGGGTTGAGTGGGCCAGAGATCCCTGAGAGAATCTTATTCCGATGTGCCCAAACCCCTCTCTCAGCGCAGGGCTCCAAGGATTTGCTCAATCTGTCAGGTTGACCATCTACTTGAGGACAACACTGCTGTGAACAATGCTTCCAGTTGTACAATAGATAGCTTGTCACAGTCTTGTCAAAAGTTGGGATTCCGCAAATTTCCTGTTTGGGGGACACCAGGAACCCAAGAGATGCAAGAAGACACCGTTTCCAATGCGGAATATTGACAAATGCTGTTGAGCTCCCAAGCGCTGACAACTGCGACTTGGCCAGACAACTGCGCTGAGAATGGCGCCAAAGAGCCTTGCTGGGTCCAAAAAGAAGCTCTGCACTGGCCTCGCTGGTGAGCCTTGGAGTACACAATGTATATAGGCATGACGCCTGCCAAATGGAGATGTAAAACCATTCTGCTAGGTGGTGTTATCAATAAACAGTCCACATTCTAAAGACTTGTTGAATCTTTTTGCAATTTTTGGATGGTCAGTCACCTGGAGGCCGGCCGGAGCATCACTGCATGCCCGCCCTGTGGGGGGTGGACCTTTTGCCACATGTTTTTGGCTCAGACATAGTAAGAACATGATCAAAGGCATCCTGACATCCTTTCACACACTGTGCAGACATTGAGAAAAGTAATGTTTATTCGTATTAAGAAAAACACACCGTCGGTTCGTTTCGAAGTCGTTCGGGCCCGGACGCTAAAACTTGAGCTTTTGAGGTGTGAGGGGAGGACCTGAAGCCATCCCCCCTTTCATAGAAAGGTTACTTAGACACGAAGCAACGACGCGTTTGTTTCTTGGTTTCCCGAACAGAGGTGGAAGAGCAACAGGGACGACATCGGAGATATGTCTCGGCAATTTCTGGAATCTGCGGATTCAGCCCAACCGGTTTGCAGCCCATGGCCACCATACTTCAGACCTGTTCGTGCGACCAGGCATCTGAGGACCGGGATGGTATGATGTGTATGTTCAAGACCTAATTAGAGGCTGTATGCATTCTTATATACATATATATTATCGATATCTAATTTTTTTAAAGTACATATTCTGTATTCACAAAGGTGCACGCGGCAGATTCCACGGATTGGACAGTTGGAAAGAATCACTTGACACATGTGTCTTGATTTGAGGCGTCATGGGTACATGGTGGAACATCAGAGTCTATGGTTCTCTTTTTGGCACAAAGTTCTTTTCTCTTTTGTTCTCTTGTGGACCATCGAGTCTGAGTAGAGCCATCTCCAAAGGTCGAGCCGTGGTCTCTCGACCTGGTTTGATCGGTTAGGACTCCTCTGTGTGTGGCTGTGATGATTGTCCTGGCTATGCTCCGCTGCCCAAGATGAACCCTTTCCTGTCGCCTGGCGGCCTCCGATCGAAGCCGTTGGCCGGTTTCGGTTGGGAGCCGGTGGCTGTCGAAAACGCTCTCGATCCTCCCACCCTCACTACGTGGCGCCGGGTGCGAGCTTTACCTCCGTTCCACGAAGCTTCATCAAGCGTTTTGGGTCGACTTCCGAACGCTCAACTGGACATGCTGAGGTCTTGTGGAAATCAGTGCCTCAACTGCACCAGACGAGGGGGGGCGAAGACCGAACATGCCGGTCGACGCACTGAACGGAGTGCGGTCGACGGTGGTGGACGGACATTGCGCGGACAGGTGAAGATCCCTTGGGTACGCAGCGGGGTTCCGAGGGCATTTTCAGAGACACATGAATAGATCCATTTTCCTTTTTCAGGCCATAGATGTTCTTTCCCCAAGCAGTCTGTTGGGGTTCTCTCTTAGGAAAAAACGCTGGCCACAGTCGCCGCGCAGGTAAACGCTGTGTCCGGGCGTTGTCCTCTTCTTGTCCTTCTTCTGGTGTCCAGCTTGGCCGCGGCTGCCAGCCAGTCTCCAGACCTTGTTCTCTGTTTTCCTCCTCTTGTTTTCTTCTTGTCGCTGTTGTCCTCTTGTTGACAAGCATGATGCTGTGGTGTGGTAGTGCACAAGCTGCAAGCGATATCATCATTGCGATGTTTGGAATGCTGTCATTTCAGGGATGTCAGAGGAAAACACCGGAGGGGGC